TTGAGCAGATGTTGAAGAAAAAGCGCCAAAATATTCGTCAAAATGGGCACTGAAAGTTGGAAACTTCCATTAAAGTAGGTCTTCTGCCTGAAGGAGTTCATAATCGTCATTCAGAAACTGCAGTTAATTAAATTCATCAATTTTTTTGGAAAAAACTACAATAACAACAAAGTTTTGGCACTAGTAGTGTTGCAAAATTCTCCACACAATGGCTTTTTGCCTTTCATTTTCCTAAAATTTTATTGATTACTTTATCTTGAGATCTGATTGGTTGTTTTGTTTTACTGTCCCATTTTCATTGGCTGAGAAAAAGATGCGATTTAGTGCAAAAAATGGTGCGATTCGTGAATAAATCGCACCACTGAGAGCAATCAGATTGCAAGGATAACCAGTGATTTCAAAATGGATTTAATAAATACAATAACCCACATGTAGCTGGGTGACCGTATGAATGCAAGTGCAATTAATGATTTAATCTACGAGTCATATTTGAGAATCTCTCAAAATTGCATGAACCTTACTAGGCAAGAGCAACTTTAATTGCTCGACCTTTCATACGAGTATTTATTTATTGACTGAGAAAATTATGAACGCGTGCGTATTAATTTGGCCTGCTCTCAGCCAATCACAATGAGGTACTAATACGCAACAAGAAGGTTACTTAACAAGTAACAACAATAATAAAGTGTATTATCGTTTGTCTCACGATGTAGTCACTTGAAATGTAGATCGCGATTTACATCTCAAGTGACTACATCGTGAGACAAACGATAATACACTTTATTATTGCATCTACCACGATGAATAACAACATCCTTTTCCTCGACAAGTAACAACAAGGTTGCAAAAGCACACTTTTTAACCACTGTGATGGGAATAGAAATCCGCTTTCTTCAGATATCTCTCTGCCTAATCGATTTTTTCAATACTGTACGTATATCACAACTATTCTCAAGAAGGCTATTACTGATTATTTAAAAGTCCCTTCCGTTATGGCTTCTACTGTGTCATTCTGTTGGTGGATGCCATTTTAAAGTCACGCCGGCGACGCATTTTCACTTGTACAATCCCCCTCCCCCTCCCCCTCCCCTCTTTAAAAAATAAATCATAAGAAAAGCACGCAAGCAATCAGTTCAAAATATCATTTGCACAAACATTGTACTCACAGCTCTCAATGATTAAAGGACAAGTTTGAATGTCCATTGGGTACAAGCGAAGGTTCATGTCACACTGTGCGGTAAATGTAATCCTACAGTTAATACAAGAAAAGACACACGTTTAACACTAAAGGATCTAAATTACAACAGTATTACGCAACAATGTGTCGAAGATTGTGAACGAAGCTCACATTTCTATGACAGAAACCTTTGATTCATTCAAGCAACGCGAGAACTGAGATTCCCTTAGGTTGCTAGCTTAAATAACACAAACACTCCTTGATCTAGATGTACCTTGTGCTGAAGTAAACCTTGCCATCGCCATGTATTTTTATTCTCATGTTTTCTCGCGTCACTCTGTGATACTTTGCAGCTTTTACATTCCAAAAAAATGTGTCTGGTGTCCATATCATCTTGGTCGCGTCTCCTGCCATGTTAAAAGGCGTGCTGAAATTATGCGCTAGCCTTGGATCATTCCACCATTGACGGAAGAAAATATCCATCGTGTATTCCTGAGAAGAGAAAAACCAAAGTTACATTTGATTAAGAAAATTAGATAACCATCGGTGTTAACTTGTTGACTTTTCCCTCACCATGCTAGCCTCTTTAATTTCTCCAATGGAAATGATCTTGAACTCCACGTCGACCATAACAGGCGGACCTGTGAAGAGAATTATAGAGAATTTACCCGTCATGCTCCAACCAACACTGACTCAGTTAGTCACTTCGGCCTTCGCAACAGTCAGTCATCTCCAAACTGGCGGGGAAAGTAACCCCAGCCTACACAGTAGTTTCATTTTCCAGAGCACAAGGGACGCAAGAAAGCGATGGGCGCGAGACGAGCAGACATTTTGTTTGCTCCACCTAGCACCCCTCTTGCTATCAGAAGGAAACGATTTCTTAAAGCTAAACAATCCCAAGCTTGGGATTCAATTTCGCATACTTGTATGCTTGTTCGACTCGTTAATAACTACTGACAACTATACAGGCCACATAACGATTATTTCACATACAATACGAGCCCATATTTGACGATATGCGTATAACAGTTAGCCTTGTATTTGTAATATTGTAGGAGGAAAATGTCCACTAGTGTTATCGACAAAGAATCAAACAAAAATTACTATTCCGCTCAATTTTTAGTTGTGCTAACCGTTGTTAATGTTTTTCGTCTTACCTCCAGCGTTCGGTCGCAACTTTTTGTCGTGCGCCGTCAAGGCTTCGTTTATCTTCCGAGACAGATTTAAAGCTTCTTCCATCGACTTCGTGTAGTCTGTTAGTGGCCTGCGATAAAAGAGCGCATAATCTAGATCTTGTCCGACATGTAATTTCGCAAAGTATAGCTTCAAATAAAACAGTCAGTAAATTATAAGCAGCCGAAGTTGCTCCCACTCGTGAGCCAATGAAATGTCCACACCGATTTAATGCACACGACGATAATTGAGCCAGTAGGACTTCGCAGAAAATTGAAAGGCAACGTGGTGTTTTGCGCTGGACGGAAAGTCACGTACAATCTCAAAATTTTGGTCCCTAACAGCTGGGAAATACTCACGGTATGTTTAATGTCTACCTCAGCTATCGATTGATGGTGAAATTCAACTACGTGGCATTGTGTGGGAGACATAGGTTTACACTACAGGAGATTTTTCCGGATTAGCAAATGTTTCCAGATTCATCAATTTTAGAGTATTCGGATTCGTAGGTGTTTACACTGAAAGGGTATTCGGATTCCTAACTGTTTACACACGACGACAACTCCGGCCGCAGCATTCTTGATAAAATGGTTACCCAGCTGTTTGTTGCCTCGACAAGGTGAAACAAAATGTTGCCAAAAAGAAGGCTATGAGTTGGGCTATGAGTTGGGTGAGTCTAAAATTTTTCCCCTCTTTCGACCACAATATTGTTGTCCATTATGTTGTCTCTACAGGCTGGTCTTATCCAAAACCGTAGAGGTCTTTGATCGCGCCATCGTTGTCGTCTCCGATAAGTGTGGAGGACTTCAACATTGTTTCGTCAATAATTTTCGTTTTCTGAGGAATATGACATTACTCAAAATAAAATCGGTTTCCTGTACCTGTAACATGAGGCGACCAGCGACCGCCATCAATGTGACTACTTGGTCCGCAAACTCAACCAAACGAATGCAACCAGAAAATTATCCGGATTCGAAAGAAAATCGTTTACACTAAAAGACTCTCTGGATTCGATATTGGCCAACATTAGCTACATTCCTATTTCGTGGTCGGCAATGCTTCAGAAACGGAAAAACCTTGGTGGCTATCATCATACGACCGCACTGGCTCGACAGGTGACAATCAACCCCTGTAGCTACGCGACCACGCAGCTCGCAGAAGAAGGATTAAGACTTCGATGTATAATAATCGTTCTTAGCAGTTGACACCAATTAAGAAAATTAATCCAAAACGGTGGAAAATAAGCTTCAATTTTGAGAGAAATGGATCAAGACAAGGGAGGCAGTTTTATATCATTAGAATATAATATACATGAAATATAAACAACTATCGTGATACAAAGACAAGACGTCTTGTTATTTTGTTGATAACATGTGGCGAGTGATAATCTGTTCAGTCTTGTGTGAGACCAGGATCATGAATAGCCTCGGCTGTACCCGAAGCACATTTTATAAACGTCGCCTTTACAAGCAGGGCGCTATTTAATTGCCAAACATTATTATTGAAATGAAAATCATTTCTCAGTCCAAAACAAGGGAATCGCCTTTTATATTTCGCCGCTATTTACTAATTTTGAAATAATTTCTTTGAAGTCCGCTTTCTTCCCTGTTGCGAGATCCGAGTGATAGCGGCAAATAAACGGCATTTTTTCCCCTGCATCTCAGGGTGCTTTAGGACTGCATTTCAGATCTGCCGGTCGAAAATATGCCTTTTTTTCTGATTAATGTCTTGAAATGCTATGTTCCTTTTATTCGTTTTGGTTGTAAATAACAGTGTTGTTGTGATCTTCAATATCACACATTTCTTCGCAACATTAACAGCGTGAAAAAGATCAATATCGCATATTATTAGAAAATGTACATTTTCTACCAAAAAAACAAGGCCACTTTCGCCTTGTAAAACTATATGCGCCATAATTGAGAAAAAAAAAACACCTGTTAACCTCCTCTTTCTTAATATTGATCAGGATATATCGCTAAGATAACCTTCCTATTTCAAATGTTATAGATGACATTGAATAGTTCAGCTATCTTACTCCCTGTTGCGAGTGAGGAATATGGCAATAAGCTATTTCTTTCCATACCGCATGCCTGCAGCTCTCCTACTTGAACACACCAAGTTATCTCGCATGCTAACCGTCTGTAAACTTCAGAATTAATTTCTGATAAATTCCACGAAATGACATCTTACTTTTCTTCTTCTGCTTCGTGAGATCTCCCAATGACGTTTGTTATAACCAACAAGAACAATACCGCTGAACGTGTCCTCATGATTATGCGATCTAGGCTTCAAGAACCTGTTGAGAGAAAACACACTTGTTAAAAGAACATAACTCGTGGAAGCTGCTGAAAACCTGTTCCTTACACATATTTATTCACTTTTAGTTTCGATTATCGGAGATACTGGTTCATTCACAGTTGGTGACATTAATGATTTCACTAAAATGCAAATTACTGCCTTTATAAATACATAAACGCGAGAATAAATTGTTTTCCGCACAACTTGATGTATGACAACTGTACAGTTACATTAAATTTGTACAGGGAGTCTAAACCTAGAGTCGCAAAACCTACGCGACTAGCTTATTTTCAAGTGGTTTCTGGTAAACGTGTTGTGCTTGTTCGCCTATTTAAGAAAGACTGAGATTGAAAATGTGTATTAATTTTCACTTCGAGAGGACAAATATATTCGACCTACCAAACCTTGGTATTCATCGCCTTAGAGTCTACACGGAAAAAGTTGAATAGCAACTTACGGTCTTTTTCAGCAGCTCCGACTCAGTATTTTGTGTTCCCTGACTGTTTACAGTATTATGCAAATAATTTTCTTACCACATTTCTTAGATTCAATTGAAGTTGGATCTAATAAAGAAGGAACGAACACTTTGATTTCTAAGACATCGTTACTACTTGATTTTATATCCTCAATGTGTCGTGTTGGTCTTATCTTTGGAAGTCTCAAAAAAGTGTCATCTCTTAAAGAAGAAGGATTTTATACGTAAAAAATGGTTTTTGCACAGCCGCAGTTATTGTTTTGCACAGTTAAGGCGCCAAGAAGGTCTGTTTCCAACTTAAGCGGTCGGCCGTGAATATCAAAATAAAAAATAAGCGGTGAAAATTCTCAAGTTACTCGAAAAATGTGTATGTTTTTTGTCAATTCTTTATCAAAAGTTCAGATTCAAGAGGCATTTTAACTTGCCCTAAACATTTAATCGATTTCTCTCAATATTTTTTTTCAAATCGTCCATTTCATTTCAAATAACTCTGCGTTATTGAGCCAAGTTTACAAAATTCAAAAACAGTTGCAAGACAATACAAGTTAACCGGTTTTGGTGTTATGGTAACATATTTGTAAATTTGGATAGCTCCATTCGATAAACTGCTATATAATCGAAATGATTTTATAAATCATCTCTAACGTTTAACTCTTAAACTTGCTAATTAAGTGTATGAGATATCATTTAGAACTTATGCGTTCACGGTTTGTGATTATTCCATTAGGTGGTGTCTAGACGAATCACAGCGGTGAGTTTTTTCATGCCTTAATACAAGTTCTCTTACGCTGGCACCATTAAACATCGCCAACTGAATTAAATTGCTGATTCGTTTTTAGGGAGTTCACAGTCACCTTAAAATTGGCTGTTTCAATGTGAGAAACTTGGCAATTGTTTTTTTTCTCTCCAAGTTAGTTTAAGAATTTTGGAACAATAAAAACGTCATAAGAGTGAAACGAAAAAAACAACTCTTTTTATCAATGTCTTCGCTAATTTGATTAGTTAATGGCTTTTGGCGCATGCAGACCGCTTGTTGTGAGAGGAAAGGATCCTGTTTAAAATGAGATTTAAATATACAGCATTTGTATTCTCAATGGTCCTCAGTCGGATGGAATAACTTATTGAACGCCAAGTTTTTTAAAGCACGTTTAATTATGGCAATTTTCCCAAAGAAAGACCTTGACTGTCTTGGTTTATCTAGAGGAAATCGGCACAGCAGCGTATAATATGATGAAGATATTTTCTGATTAGTCATGAACAGTGTACAGCGAAGTCCATAACTGTTAGTCACAAGGGAATCTTTTCTTTTAGTCCGAAGATATCGATTATGCTTGGTGATAAAAGTCCAGAAATGTCTTCCCGGACAGGTTTCTTTTTCTGGAAGGACCAACATCATTGAGACGTTTAGTACCAGTGGTAGATATTTCCAAGTTACACCGAGTGAACCTATAGGTTCAGATTCAGAAGCCAACTATCACGTGAATACACACTGACTGCAATTGCTATTTGCCGTTCCCCGGTTCCAAAATTTTGATAAATTTGAGCAAAACAGACTTTTAGTGGATGCGGTCTCATGGTTGATAAGTTATCAAAAAATCTTGCGCTAGATTGATTGCCCATTCTGTTGCAACGCGTTTACCTGTTTTACAAGTGATTGCTTATACCTACTCCTCCAATTCATTTCCGTTATTAATTTTTGTTGACGGTTTTCCTTTGCGTTCTACATCTGGAGGTTTTGTAGTTCCCGTGTATTTAACTAAGAGCTACCCCCTATTGAGTAACAAACAATTCGACACTCTACCACAACAATGAAATCTCAGTGCAAGGTAACGTCTATGGTTTTCACCAGTCTCGCAGATAAGAAGGACACCATAACAAACAAAACCGCGTAAACATTCTTTGTAAGGATTAATTCATTAGTAAATGCAATATCTCGTGTTTTTGTTAAGAAATAAGCAAGTTGTTGATTCCCTTTCATTTCTGTTGCATGATTCTGAGATTTCATTTAAAACTCTTGCGGAGTGTGATTTACTCTTCCTCTACAATGTATTAGTCACTCATATCGACAAAACTTTTAACAAAGATTCCATATTACAACTAGAACATGGAATTTAGAACAATTTCTAGTATTCAACATTTCAAAATCATTGCCTTAGTTTCTTAGCCACAATCCTTAAATTCCAATGGTTGAGTTCCTATTACTCCTTTGATGTACCTGTGATTAGAAATGACTTTATTTAAAAATTATCTCTGAATATATGAAGCATTTTGAATGCAGACCAGACATCAACGGCGAACAAGAGTAAACTGATAATATGGAATTCTTTTGCTGCTGGCACTGGGGCTATAGTGCTACCTATTGTCATTCCACTAACAAATGTCTCACTCCGAAGTAAACTCAGTAAAGCCCAGAACTATTCCTTAACCTGCTAGCCAGAAAATGGATACTTTAACTGACGCAGCCTATGATTGAAGTGCTGATTATACAATATATCGTTATTTATAACAGAATAACCGAGTACTCCTGTTTGGTGGTGGAACAGGAAACCCCGTGGAATCCCTTCAAAACTCGTTGCCACGACCCGGAGATATCAGGCAGGACCAGACAATGGCAAATTGTCTGTAAAAATGATTTTTTTTTTTCTGTCACTTGATTCTTTCTTTTAACTGGTTCCCGAACTAAATGAGCTAAATTCGTGCCAAAATATAAATTATTAATAACGAGCTAAATTACAGCAAACAAAGAAACAGCGACTGAGAAGCTTAAGCTTACAATTTGACTTTTGTCAGTGTTTTGGTCGCTGCTGCATGCTAACTAAACTATAAAGAGCGTTGTGATAAAGTAAGCCTTAAGGTTCCAGACTGTAAGAGTAGTTACATCAACACACTAAGAAGACGAAACTGCTTAGAGATGTGCCCACTGTTACTCAAGCACCTGTAACAACACTGCATGAGTGCCTTCCTTTTGAAGCCTTTTGAATTGCAGTGAAATATTAATCATGTGAATGAATTTTCTATTTAGTGCACTAACTGAATTCTGCAACGAGGATATTGGTCGCCGGCGTCCTTTTTGGTTTAGCAATAATCGAATACACTAAGAATTACTCATTATTATTCCTTTCAATTTTTAACAGTGACTTAAGTCACGGAAAATGAAAATAAATATTTCTTATCTTGTTTACCATGTTCGATAGTAAAGCTATTTTAGACACTTTATAACTCTACGCAGTATACCTGTTCTGCAGATTCTAACCTTCCTCATTCCTCGTAGCTTCGATACTCTCCATATATACCTTATTTTGTCGCAAAATGTTATCATTTTAAAAATGCGAGACAAATCTCTTAAAAATGCCACAAATGCATCGAAACCACTTACTGTAACAATGCAATGGAGTTCTTCGTACGTTTATGGTTCTTTTCAAAAGCAGGATATGTCGGCTAGCCCCTCTAACGATTTGAAAAAGTTACCGTGTCATCACATTGTGTCTTTGAACCACGCGTGTTACTTTAGCATTTGGTTCACAGGAACTTTAACTGTAATGTAGTCCGTTAATTATACAAATTGGACAGCGGCCAGAACTTTAGCGGTTGAGAATTAGCATAAATTAAGGGCTCTTGTACGTCGTTGTGGAAGATTCTTAGAACGTACTGGACTTATAAATATTGGAGATATTAACGCTTGGAGATGGTTGAAAGCGTTACTGGTGGTGCCTTAAAATAGTTTGAAGAGATTGCAAAAAACATACTTTCTTCAATCAAATGAAAGTCATACAGAAGATTAACTGTGCAGCTTAAGTATTTGAACGCTCCAAACTAATTGTTAAGAGAAAAAAGTAAAAACAGACAGGGCAACTACGACTTTTTTTCTGGTAAATAAATTCTAACATTAAGGTATTCTAAGCCACAATAAGAGCCCAATCGACGGGTGATAATATTAGTAAGTGCATTGCACAGAGCGATAATGCAGTTCTACATAAATATAAGAGATTATTTAAGTAAAATCCTGACATAATCTGTCAGAATTACATGCTCAGATTTTAAACTGGGTAATGCTATGTTCTAAGCGTGAGGTACGAGTCGCTTTTCACGTAAATATTTCCAAATTAAATTATTAATGGTTTCCGTGGTAGCCTCGTTCACTAAAGTTGAACTACGAACTGACGGCAGCATGTGGAGTGTCATAGCAGGACGCTCCCAAAAAAGGCGATTCCCTGCTGGTAAATACGAAAACACAATAAGGAATATGAAAATTCGTAAGTGTTGCCCGTAAATAAGGAAAAATGAAAGGCTACAACTGTCGCAGTTGGGGTGATAGGTGTTAACAATATCAACATGAGTTCATGCGTTTTGACTCCATGCAACCATCATCTATCGGAACCAAAGCTAGCTACGCTATGGGATATTTACCTCGCTTGTGAAATATTATAAACAACTCAAATTTATAGAGAAGTCGCTGTTTCTTAATAGCTCTTTGTGAGAGACAATGTGACCGACTGGTCCTGGGTTAAAATACATTGTAGCCATTAACTGAACTTGTGCTTGTGGTCTCCAGGTTGTGGTCCCAAGTAGAGCTGGATTGGAATCTGTGGCCACAGTCATGAAAATAACAATTTTTTTCAGCCGAAATAAAGTTAGATGAATTCCTTAAGACATTTACTTAGAAATAACAAGAAATCTTAGGAACCTAATTCACTTGGAGAAATTTTGGTAATTGCAGAGATTCACAGTTTCATAAGTTGAGCCGGCCAGGAGCCATAATCGGGGACGGAGACCATAAGCGCGCGCCATTTCTAGTATTGGGGCTGCCCCCATGATATGGGACAATTTTTCTATTTTTGGAGAAAAATGCGCCATCGCCTGCGGGACACGCGCGTACATGCTGCGAGGATTTTTGCGGATGTCGCGCGGGGGAAATGGCGTCCGAAATCCCGAAATTTTTCATGTTTTTGGCCCACAACTCAACGCGTTTACGTCTGTTGGAATTTTGCTAAGTATTTTCGTCGTAAGCTGCTCCAGTTTGAGTGA